AGAGAGAGAGAGAGAGAGAGAGAGAGAGAGAGAGAGAGAGAGAGAGAGAGAACTGTGGCTGTTTAACGAGCTTTGTCTCAAGGAGTTTGTGCAGCGGGTAAGGCAAACGACGGACCAAGATGGCGATGTCGCTAGACAGTTGTGCTGCTCTCGCAATGTCGGGAGCCAAGTGCATCAACACCGACCTCAAGCTCACGGATGGTGTGGGTGGCCCAACGGCTCGTCTCTGTGACAGTAGCAAGCCATCACCCCGCCTCCTCCATGGTACTCAGACATCAGCCTCCTTACCAACAAGGAAGGAACATGTGCATGTCCAGGTCCAGTCGGCCGGAGGAGGAGTTAGCCGACTACGTCGGCGGCGCGGGAATGAGAAAGCCATGGTGGTGCCTATTGTCATCGAAGCACAGGGTAGCTTACCCAGCAGCTGCAGCGGGCTATTCTCCTCCTCCTCCTCCTCCTCCTCCTCCTCTTCTTCCCCCTCCTCCTCTTCCCCCTCTACCTCGTTGTCCTTACCGTTAATTAGGCGGAAAGCCGCCGCTTCCACATGGTCAGCGTCGTCTCTGTTCTTCTCGAGCTCCGCTCGGGCTACCGGTAGCAACGACTTGTACGGAAGATGCAGTCGCGGTCGCGCTGCAGCCAAATGGCCGGCGATGGCGGCGATGGCGCCAACGAAGAGAAAGAGGAAAGGCAGAGGAGGGCAGCATCTGCAGCAGCAGCAGTGCCATAGCCAGCTTGCAGTGACCCAGGTGTTATGGGAGAATGGGAGAAAGGAGGTGACGGGGCGTTCTGCGCGTAGAGCTCCCCCCGCCGCCATCGCCGCCGACGCAGCGTCAGGCGGAGGAGGAGGAGGAGGAGGAGGTCCCTCCCCCTCCTCGGACGAGCGGAGAGGATTTCCGTTGACGTCATCTGTGCGGAACAGCAGTCGGCGAGTGGCCGTGAGGCAGGACGGCGTCGAGACAATGTCGGGATCGCCAACACCGTCGGTCGCGACGAGAGCGATCCAGACGTCGAGCGGCGCTCAGACGGACGAAGCAAATGCTGCCACGTCGGCATCCGCTTCCGCTTCCGCCTCCGCTTCCGCCGTCCAATCAATGGAGCGACGAGTGTTCGAGACCGTCGTACGTCACGCAGCAACGGTGGGGGAAAACGCCAGGTACGCAGATGGCAGCCGCGGCGGCAAATCCGAGCCAACCTCCTCCTCCTCCCTCTCCTCGCCCTCTTCCTCCATTTACTCCGATGCATTCTCTTCCTCCTCCTCAGCTATGGCTATTGCGGCGGCGGACTTCCCGTCTTCTTCTCCTTCTTCCCCTCCTCCTCCTCCTCCTTCTCCTTCTTCTTCACAGAATACTCTGTCTAAAGCCGACCAACTTCAAGACTTGATTTTGGCGGGACAAGATAGTCTTTTCCCGCGCTGCAATCCCGAGCTGTTAAAGGTAGCCTACGATCGTTGCCGCGTTGTCTGCCAAGAGTACGCAAAAACGTTTTACTTGGGCACGAAACTGATGACCCCTGAGAGAAGGCGCGCCATTTGGGCAATCTATGTCTGGTGTCGCCGGACTGATGAGTTGGTTGATGGGCCTCACGCTGCTACCATCACCCCGGGGGCTTTAGATAGATGGGAGGGTAGATTGGAGGACATTTTCGCGGGAAAACCGTACGATATGCTCGATGCCGCGCTTGCAGACACCGTGGCGCGCTTTCCTGTTGACATCCAACCGTTCAAAGATATGATTGATGGGATGAGGATGGATCTGACGAAGAACAGGTACCGAACTTTCGACGAACTTTACCTTTACTGCTACTACGTGGCGGGAACCGTCGGCGTGATGAGCACCCCCGTGATGGGCATAGATAAGGCGTCCAAGGCCTCGACGGAGAGCGTGTATTCCGCCGCCTTGGCTCTCGGGATTGCTAATCAACTGACGAACATTCTGAGAGATGTCGGTGAAGATGCCACGAGAGGACGTATCTATCTCCCGCTGGATGAATTGGATATGTTCGGCTTATCTGAAAAGGACATTTTCGCGGGAGAAGTGACCCCAAAATGGCGGGAATTCATGCGATTCCAGATCCGCCGCGCGCGCAAATTCTTCAGAGAAGCAGAAAAGGGAGCAGCAGAGCTCACTCAGGAAAGCAGATGGCCTGTCTGGGCCTCTTTGATGATATACGGTCAAATTCTTGATGCCATCGAAGCCAACGACTACGACAATTTCAGGAAAAGGGCTTATGTCGGTAAATGGAGTAAGCTGATAGCTTTGCCGCAAGCCTACTTGCGCGCCATGAGACCCCCGCCGTCATCGTTGATGAAGTCGTCGTCGACTCCGGCAACGATTTGATTTGATTTGATTTTTTTTATAATTTTTAATTCAACTTTTTTTTGTTGCGATTTTTTTTATTATTATTATAGAAAAATCGAGAAAATCGCAAAAGGATAGAGAACGAAATTTTCAGTGTTTTAATTACGTAATAACTGACCCCTTCCTTTTTTTTTTTTTTTTTTT